GATTCCTGTTCATGTGTGCGTTATGTTTGCATTTGATTATAACATTGATATTAGAATAAAACATGATTTTATAATGTCAGTTATTTAAAATATAGAGGAGCAAAGATTTGATCTTGTTTAAGGATACCTCATTACTTACAATTATAGTTTATAGTTATAATATAAACTTTTAAAGGGAATGGAGGTTATATTTTCTTGTGTTTCAGGTATTCTGATATCAGATGCTCACATTTTTGCTTACTTGCCTGGGGACATGTTTACACAACAAAGGAAAAAAAAAAAGTCTTGGCTGGCCCGTACTGGCCAACTGAGGCTTAAGGGACTGAGGTTGTGGGACTGTTTCACTGATGTGTAGACTTCTGGGCTCAGGCTGAGGGGCTTGAACTCTGGGACCCTGCAGAGTGGGAGGTGCTGGTTACCCTGCAGTATAACCACGTCTGCTAAGAGCAAATGTGTGTGTGTGTCTGGCTGCAGCACATACACAAACATAGCTGGAAGTGACTTGTATGCTGGAGGTTGAGAGCAGTCTAAACCCAAGTTCTCCATAAGCTGCATGGCCAGGCAGCTATATAGCTGCTAAGAAGTTCCATGCAGGGGCTCAGGGTGGCCACACAGAGCACTACCACTGCTTCCCTGACCCCACAAGGAGCTGCAGTGACTGGGACAGGGCAGAAGAGCCTCTCCCCTGGCCGTGGCAGCTCCTTGCTGGGGTCAGCAGGGAGAAGTCTCTCTACCCCAGCTGCAGCGTCCATCTCAGACCTGCTGCTGCCTAGGGACAGCCATCCATTTCCCTGGTCCCCACCCAGCATAGTCTGGACCTACCCCAAAACCTGCCACTGGCAACTTCCCCAGGGCACAGAGATTCAAAGAGGCCTGGGGCGGCTGCTGCTGCTGTAACTAGTGGTAGCAGCTGGAACCATGGGCTCTTTAAATCGTTGTTGGAGCCCCATGCAGAATGCTCTAGGCAGAGCTGAGGGCTGCCTATGATAGGCACGGTGCTCTCTGGCTGCCTGGGGAAAGCTAGCTACAGCCCCTCCTTTCTGGCTTAGGCTCCAGCCCTTCTGGGGGCACAGAGCTGGGTTCCCCCTTGCCTTGCCCAGAGTCCCCACAAGTAAATTTGCCCCCATGCCTTCCCCAGCTGGGGGACAGGCACCCCTCCGCTCGTTGTGCCTGCTGGAGCTGTGGTGGCTATGGAGAAGTGCCTCTTACCTAGCCCCAAGATGCTGTGTTGGGAGTGGGCTAGAGGTAGTCTTCTCACTCTCTGGGACAGCCTGCATTAAAGCTGCCTCATCCCCAGAGTGTGAACCCCCAGCCAGAACCATCACCCACACCTCAACCCTCTGCCCCATCCCTGAGCACCCTCCTACAGCTCAACACCTTGGTGCTAACTGCCACACACTGTGCAGAATGACTTCTTATGTGATACATCACCTCCATATTGGTGCACATAACAAAAATCGTTCCCTCATTTTATAAGGAGTAGGGGTTATTTCAAAAGAAGGGTTTTCTTTCGAAATAATCGCGTCTTGACTACGTTTCTTTTTTCGAAATAGGATATTTTGAAAAAGCGGCTGGATGCGATTATGCAAATGAAGCATGGGAAATTCAAATCTTCGCTTCATTTGCAATTTCGTTCGTCTGCATTTGCATTCCTCTCTCAAAAGAGGAATTCAGTGTAGACATACCCTGAGTGTAATTATGTAACATTTATGTGATAGCAACAGTTGTTTACAGTGAAAAGTAATGTACTATATAGCTGTATTTTAATGCAATTTAGCATCTGGAAACAAGCAGCAGAGACAACAACATGTGGAAAGCCAACTTTGTGGTGTACCAGCAAATCCTCTTTGAACCACAATTTGGGAATGTTGGTTAGAATCTGGAGTTTGGAAAAGAGGTTATAAAAAAAGAGGTGGGCAATCTGCGGTCTGTGGGCTTCATAAGATTTGTCAAGGTAAGCTGCTGGTAGACCACCGAGTAAGTTGTTTACTCTCTGTCGGTATGTACAACTACCTGCAGCTCCAATTGGCCGCGATGTTCTGTTCCCGGCCAATGGGAGCTGTGGGAAATGATACAGACTGCAGTGACTTGCTGGCTGCTGCTTCCTGTTGGTCCCATTGGCCAGGAATGGTGAATCGCAGCCAGTGGAAACTGGGCAGCTATGCTTGCAGACACACAGGGTAAACAACCTGTCCAGCAAGCTGTGTGCAGCAAGAAGGCTTCAGCTTGTTCACTGATATAAAGAATATCTTACTGTGCTGTCGTCCATTTAAAAATGCATTTTTTTATTGAACTGATCAAGAGCTGTGAAATGTAAATAATTTACTTGTTAACCATCTAATGTAATTAGTTTATTTTTTGCTCCCCGAATATATTAAATACAATTTTCATTACTATTGGCTTTCTGAGTTTAGTAAATAAAGTATAATCATGCAAAATACAGACTGCTGTATATATTGACTTACAGCCCCCCACCTCTCATGTAATATCTTTGAAAGACTGAGTTTTTTGGCTTTTTTTCCTTTCTGCAGATGTACTGTATTGTTTTAAATTTGTAACTCAAATAAGTTGACTCGTATATCAATTTGTAAGGGTTATTGAGTTAAAATACATTGACTGTCTCAGCCAGTATATAAATTGATTCCATATTTCTAGACTTTTGACCTGCAGACATAATGTTTTGCACAGAATTAAGTTTTCATTTTGAGGAACATTTGAACCCTGAAGTACTAATGATATCTTTTGTTGTTGTTATGTAACTAGAAATGCACAATAAAGGCATTGCTGTATAAGGTGTCTCAGCATTAAAATTCTTCTAATTCTCAAACATTGGCCTCATTGTGATGCTCATAGTACAATGGTGGGCAACCTCAACCCAAGGACCACATGCAACCACTGAGGTTCTACATATGGCCTGCAAGACATTTTGTTTACCATTTCCCATGTTCAGGGTTGCCAGATTCTGCTTGTTTCTGTCTGTATAGGTTTTTTTTCCTACCAGTGTTACTAAAGCGACATGCATGTAAAGCAAGGGCATGTGAAGCGAGGTGCATGCTTAGTGCACACAACACTGACTATAAGAGCGGTGTGCTCCCTCTGCAGCCAATCAAAGCACTGCTGTGCTTCAGTCAATACACCCCAGAAATTCTGCATACATGAGCGCAGTTAGCAAAACTATTCTATCTTGGGAGACTGTCTTTGTCTCAACAATCTTCTTGAGGCCCTTTGAGATGGAGGGGCATTCATGTGGCACACTCACTAGCCTAGATTGCCCATTGTTGTCTTGGTATCATCATCACCTCTCAATAATATTTATTACACCAGTGGCGTAAATTGCACATGTAGCAGGCATCAAGGTGGACATCACTGTTCTGTGAATCTGTGAAAAGGAGGTCATCTATATGAATGATGACCTATACAGGCAGTCCCCGGGTTACATACAAGATAGGGACTGTAGGTTTGTTCTTAAGTTGAATCTGTATGTAAGTCGGAACTGGCATCAGCCGCTGCTGAAACTGATCAGTTTCAACAGCGGCTGAATCTGGACGCCAGTTCTGACTTACATACAGATTCAACTTAAGAAACCCAGG